AAACAGACAATGTCAGAGGTGTCTTAGCTGCCATGAATCATCTAAATATACTCCCATAAAGCACTGAGGGACCAAATGTGCCAATACACATTTGAGTATTCATCTTTTTTCCTTTTTGAGTGTGCATGTTTGAAAATGCAAAGTATTTATTTGCATGTGAGAGTTTTTCCTGGGTGTGCCTTGAGAAAGAGTAACCCCTGCACGTAGACAGCCAATTCTAAAGACAATATATAATTAGTCAAAAGACGTCTGGTCACAGTTAAGAGTGGCTGCATATGAGGGGCAGGGGGGGCGGGGGGGGAGCAAACTCACCAGACCTGAACCCCATAGAGAATCTATGGGGTATTGTCAAGAGGAAAATGAGAAATGAGAAACCAAATAACGCAGATGAGCTGAAGGCCACTGTCAAAGAAACCTGGGCTTCCATACCACCTCAGCAGTGCCACAGACTGATCACCTCCATGCCACGCCGAGTTGAGGCAGTAATTAAAGCAAAAGGAGCCCCTACCAAGTATTGAGTACATATACAGTAAAAGAACATACTTTCCAAGGCCAACAATTCACTAAAAATGTTTTTTATAGGTCTTATGAGGTATTCTAATTTATTGAGATAATGAATTGGTGGGTTTTTGTTAAATGTGAGCAAAATCATCACAATTAAAAGACCCAACGGCTTAAACTACTTCATTCTGTGTGTATTGAATGTGTATAATACACGACTTTCACTATTTGAGTTGAATTACTGAAATAAATGGACTTTTCCACGATAAATTATTGAGATGCACCTGTCTGAGGCAGCAGTTAAATCTGGCTTTGAACTGATCCTCACCCACGTCATGAAGAACAATGAGGAACTCGTCCTCTGGGAGTCCGTAGGCATTGGATGACTCCTCTAACACTGTGTAGAGACTCCCACAGGGGCAGTACTCCATCACCAGCACCTTGTGACGGGTGTTGGACTGGGAAGGGGAGGAGGAAGAAGAGCACCAGTTGTTTAGAGAGATTATTACACTTGGCTAAAACTTTACAGACAGCATTTGAGCATCTCTACTTTATGGCTGAGAGACAGCATTTACTGACATAAACATGCTCCATAAGCACAATTTTCAAATATCAGTGCCAAATTAACCATGAGAATTGCTTCACTATAGGCCCAGGAGATAATGTTAGCAGAATCAGATGTTGGACTGGCCAGATGTGACCAATCTATGACTAATACTACTTGAC